ATCATCCATGGATTTGTTCATAATGCTTGATATATATTGAGCAAGTAATGGTGAGCATCGCGTTACGAATATGGATGGTATTCCTTCAGGACCAGCTGTAGCAGTAGTATCATCAAATGTTAACAACGTCTTACGAATAATCTCAGCTGTAAATTTGTTTTCATCAATTGAGTTTATTACTTTTGGCAAATTTATGAAGTGAATTGGTCAGTCTGGTTCTCTTACGTAGCTGTTAACGAACTGATCTGCAAATAGCTTCGCGATGTTTGGTTATTCATTTACAAGTTCTTGTGACTCGTTTTTAAGCATGTTAGGAATGGTGACTTTAGATTTAAGTGGTCTTCTAATGTATCCATAGAAAGCTTTTGGTCCAGAATATCTAACATTTGTAACAACCGTGTAGTGGCGGTTAAGAATATTCACTACCCCATATCTTCCCATGGGTGTCATGATGATGGATGGGCAGCAGCATCTTCCTGGTAACGGCAAAAATACAATAAAAACCTGCGGTTACCAACCCGCTCGCCAAGCGTGGCAACTATGGCAAATAACCCCCAAATGGATAAAGTAACTAAGAGACGGCCCCCAGTCCCCGGCGGCCCCCCGCTATTCCTGGCTACGGTGGCGAACATGGTAACGGCGGGGCAGGGGGTGCTAAGAATCTCCGGTGGAGGTTCGGTTGCCACCTACGACGACTCGACCTGGCAACATATAACGCACGCACCCTGAGGACTGACGAGAAGATTGTGGAGCTGGAAGGAGAGATAGACAAGTTACGCTGGCATATTATAGGATTATCCGAAGTCCTAAGAGAGGGGGAGGACACGGTAATCCTCGAATCCGGCAACTTGCTCTATTACCAGGAGGGCGACCATCTGTCCCAAGGAGGTGTCGGATTTATCGTCCACAAGTCTCTCGTTAACAACGTTGTAAAGATTGAGAGTGTGTCGACGAGGGTTGCGTACCTTATACTCAGAATCACCAAACGGTATTCGCTGAAGGTCATACAGGTTTACGCACCAACCTCGGCACACCCAGATCAGGAGGTGGAGGAAATGTATGAGGATATCTCTAGAGCCATGCATTCCTTCAAAACCCAATATACGGTGTTAATGGGAGACTTCAATGCAAAACTAGGCACAACAGAGAACGATGAGCTGAAAGTGGGGAAATTTGGAATAGGGCAACGGAACCCAAGGGGCCAGCAGCTGGCCGACTTCATGGAGAAAGAGGGACACTTTATGATGAACTCTTTCTTACATAAGCGGCCCCACAGGAAGTGGACCTGGTCGAGCCCCGACGGTTCGACAAAAAATGAGATTGACTTCATTATGACGACCAAACGACAACTGTTCAGTGATGTCTCCGTGATCGCGAGGGTGAAAACCGGCAGCGATCACCGAATGGTTAGAGGCACACAAAACTTAAACGTTAAGTTAGAGAGGTCTCGTCTAATGAAGTCAACGCTCCGTCCCCCTCGTGCTCTAATCCAAAGTCCCGAAACCTTTCAGCTCGAGTTACAAAACCGTTTTCAGTGCCTAGAAGACTGCAATGAAGTGGACGATTTGAATGACAAGCTCGTGGAAACTGTCCATGCGGTCGGAGGTAAGTTTTGCAAGATCCGCCGCAGAAGAACACAAAAACTCTCCTATCACACTCTTAATCTCATGGCTGTTAGACGGGAAATAAAGCTACATTCTTCAACAGATTTAACAGCATACAGGCAACTGAGCAGACCGATCTCCAAATGCATGCGGCGGGACTTACGCAACTTCAATACAGCTCGTGTTAAAGAAGCGATCGAGCGGAACCAAGGCTCCAAAGTCTTTGCCAGAGATCTGTCTGCCAGAAAGAGCCAACTGTCAAAGCTGAAGACCGAATGTGGCAGCATCGTTTCCGGGACACCTGAGATTTTGAGTGAGATTGAGAGGTTCTACGGGCAGCTGTAAACTTCATCGTTGGAGCCGCACGCAGGTGTGAGTAACGATCCAAGAGTCTTATCCGACATTATTCCGATGATATCCCGGACGTCAGTCTGAGCGAGATTAGAATGGCTCTCCAGCACCTTAAAAACGGCAAGGCCCCAGGCGAGGATGGAATTACAGCGGAGCTTCTGAAAGCGGGTGGAAAACCGGTACTTGAAGTCCTTCAGAAGCTCTTTAATTCCGTCCTCCATGGTGGCATTACACCGGAGGCGTGGAGCAGAAGTGCGGTGGTCTTGTTCTTCAAGAAAGGCGACAACGCTCTCTTGAAGAACTACAGACCGATTTCCCTTCTGAGCCGCGTCTACGTGCTGTTTTCGAGAGTCATTACGAATCGTCTCGCGCGCAGACTTGACGACTTCCAGCCTCCCGAACAAGCCGGTTTCCGAAAAGGCTTTAGCACCATAGACCACATACATACCCTTCGGCAAATTGTGCAGAAGTCCGAGGAGTACAATTTGCCACTATGTCTGGCGTATGTGGACTATGAGAAAGCCTTTGATTCCGTCGAAATTTGGGCGGTGCTGCAGTCCCTTCAGCGATGCAAAGTTGACTGTCGGTATATCGAAGTGTTGAAATGCTTGTACAGTAGGGCTACGATGGCTATCCGAGTACAGAACCAGAGTATGAAACCTATCCAATTGCAGAGAGGTGTAAGACAGGGTGACGTCATATCCCCGAAACTCTTTACCGCTGCATTGAAAGAGGTTTTCAAGCTTCTGGACTGGAAAGGATACGGTATCAACATCAATGGCGAGTAAATCACTCACCTTCGATTTGCCGACGATATAGTCCTTATGGCAGATTCGCTGGAGGACCTAAGCACTATGCTCAATGACCTCAATAGTGTTTCCTAACGGATAGGTCTTAAGATGAACATGAACAAAACAAAGATCATGTTTAATGTCCATGTCACACCTATGCCGGTAGTTGTTGGGAACACTAAGCTCGAAGTTGTTGACGAGTATGTTTACCTGGGACAAATAGTCCGACTAGATAAGTCCAACTTTGACCGAATCGACGCATTCAACTCGGTTGGGCAGCGTTCGGGAAATTACGACACATCTTCTCGTCAGGTATACCTCAAAACTTGAAAACGAGACTGTACACCCAGTGCGTGTTGTCAGTGATGGCATACGGAACTGAGACGTAGTCCTTCACTGCTGGCCGGATGAGGACGCTCAAGGTCGCTCAGCGAGCTATGGAGAGGGCTATCCTCGGAGTTTCTCTGCGTGATAAACTCAGAAATGAGGATATCCGCAGTAGAACCAGAGTGACCGACATAGCCCAACGGATTACTAAGCTGAAGTGGCAATGGGCCGGCCATATAGCTCGAAGAACCGACAACCGATGGGGAAGAAAGGTTCTCGAGTGGCAGCCTCGTACCGTAAGGCGAAGTGTAGGGCGTCCCCCCATTAGATGGAGTGACGATCTGGTAAGATATGCAGGAAGTCGATGGATGCAGGTGGCTCAAGACCGTGCTTTGTGGCATTCTTTGGGGGAGGCCTATGTTCAGCAGTGGACTTGTGAAGGGCTGTAATGATCTAACATTTGATTCAAAATCAGCTCTTTCATATTTTGACAATTTAATAATCTTATGGTTAATATTTCTGTAATTCCGGTATGAATCTTCGGTTTTATTAATATTATATATATCCCATAATTTTTCATTTTGATAAATCCAAATCAGATATATTTGTAACTGATTCTTTAACACAATTTTCAATTTATGTGTTTATTTGATTTATATAAGACAGTCACATTTCATCTACTTGATTTTTAATTATGTTAAGATTTTCAGCTAAATCTTTGTTAATTTTGCTATAGTCAGCTTTATAAAAACAAAAATCTTTTACGTTTTAGCCACTTTATTATTGATATTAATTATCTACATAGAAGCCAGTATGACCAAATAATCAATATTTCCGATGAGCGGGATATACTTAACATTTGTTAATAAAGTTTCATCATTATTCAGTATTAGATCTAGTAGTGATTCTTCATAATTGCGTTTTCTTGTGATTTGTGTTACTAGCTGATTTAGATTACTGTTTGAGTACATTGTTATAAATCTTTCACATAGAATGTCATGTCCGGTTTAATTATCGAGAGGCCATTTTATATTTGGTTAGTTGAAATCACCTGCAGTATCGACTGTTTGCTTTGATGCCGCCTTTTCTATACTGGTAAATAAAATTTCATCAGTATTTTTAAGACATTTGAGGGAGGACAATAAACACAAACTAAAATTAAATCTAAATATCCATAACGTATATCTAAACACAATGTCTCAACCAAATTGTTATAATATAATTTATTCACTCTTGACATAACTGGCACATAGTTAATGTCATGTGTAACATACATTGCTACTCCTCCATCTTCTATTTCTGTTCTGTCCAACTAAAAGAGGAAGTATCTGCATATATTTTGAAGAATATCGTCAATTCCGTAATGTAAATAGGTTTCTAATATCAAAATAAAAACAGGTTTATATATATACATATACGCCGCCACATCACCCCCCTGCACGCTCGAAGCGTTGGCCGCTCCCCGGGCAGAACACCATATATAATATATATATATATATATATATATATATATATATATATATATATATATATATAATAATTTCAAGAAGAAACAAATAAAATTTTGCCATAACGGAAACCTTATTCGTGTATAGGATGCGGAGTTAAGTGATATTATTATAAACTAGTTTTTTGAAGTTGTTTTAATCTTTGGTATGTTATTGATTTATTTGATCGTAAGATATTGCTCACCTTTCTCTGTTATAACCGCTAATTTTTCATGAAGTTTTCTAAGTTGATCTCTTTGATATGGTGTCATATCAGTCTTAACTTTTACAGAGTTTGGCAGCTTACCTTTATTTTCAAGAACACAGCATTTTGTTTATTGGCCAGGTCTACCGTGATAGGACGCTTTTCACTGAAACTGAGAATTTCCGGTTCAGGAGTGATCAATTACGTAATAGTTTTAAAAACCTGGTATTTATCATTATTTTTTGTCTTCATTTGAATTTGCTTTAGATTCAGGTATTCCAAACACAATAAGATTACGAATACGATTTCTTCTTTCCTGAATTTCATTTGTCACTGTGTCCAAATTCACTATATTTATTTGATTTGTCTTTAACTCTTGAACCTGCTGTTGGAGGTCTGTAACAAGTCTGCAACTTTCTGGAATGTGCCTTAGCTGATCCTCGCATTCATCACATAGGTATGAAAATTTAGGTGTTTGAAGTGCAACAACACGCATTGATGTTGCACTTAGTCCACTGCATTTAGTACATATTACTCTCTTGCAGCCTTTGCAATTGATATTTCTTAGAGTCTTATCATCAATACGACTGTTACACTTGAAACACTGTGCCATTTCGATTTAATTCTCCCAAATAGTAGTATGATTTAGATAGTTTATTTTTTCTATGTATGGTAAAGCAGTATTATTTATGGTTACTTTTAAACAGTCAAGAATCGTATAATATTAGTATGTAAGTCAATCTCCAAACACAACACAATTAGCACTTTGATTGAACACCAGTAATTGAAAGTAAAGACCAGAAATGAGATGGGGGGTGACTAAATTTATTTTGGCTATAAAAAACTCTTTTTTTGTTGTTTGTTATAGCCTAGATCACTACGAGTATCGCTTTCTATTTGTTTGTGAAGTTTGCTTTTTTTTTTTTTATTATAGCTAATTAGCTCGGACAGATATACAGATATACAGACAGAGAAGCAGACAGACAGACAGACCGTTTGCTGTAAATAGTTATGTATGTCCTAATACCATGCAAATAACTCCATAAGCTTAATAAAGTCTGGTATTTCTATATTAATACACTTTGCTATATATATATAGACATATTCGCCCCCGGCAATTTTATATCTTTATTAATTAATCTGCCAGTCCCGCAATGACGCTTAGAATTTGTGCTTAAAAGAAGTAATAGTTTTAAATATTTACCTTGTTTATGGTACACATAAAATATCTAAACCAGTGACGAGGAGCAACGTAAAAGGTGCGAAATTTTTTATATAAGACTTACCGTTTGATATGACTGTGTAGCGGCGGTTTAAGGATATCCACTACCTCAGGTCGTGTCGTAGGTGTCGTAAACGGCGACAGAAGGAAATAAACGAGGAGATGGATAGCAGCGACTTCCTAATAACAACTAAAAATAAACAACTGCAGTTATCAACCCGCCTGCTAAGTGTAGCAACTATAGCAAAATCCTCCCTAAGAAAAAATATTTGAGCGTGGCCTCTGTTCAGCAGTGCAGTATTTTATTGGCTGTTTTTATGTATTTGTATTTTATTGATAAGCTGTATAAAAGGGTTATAATATTATTAAAGCATAGCTACATGACTGATAATAACCCTAGAAATAAGGTGATCGCTACCATGCCGTTTCTAATGAATAATTTAAATTTACAGCTATGGTATATATCTGCCCTATTAGGCAGTCTATGGAGAAGGCCTATTTTAAGTCCTAATAGAAGAGACTCATGTACGTCAAAGAACTTCAGCATATTGATAAAGAAGAAGGCTGCAGTCATATTATTGTTGTGGTACAAATGAATCTACTCTACTGGGTAAGGACGACGCTCTCACAAAATACAAGCGTAATATAGCAGCTTTATACCGCTGTGTTTCGTATGGTGAGTGTAGAGAACTGGAAACCCCTTTTACTGGAAACGAGGCATTCCATCTTAGTCTTCAGTTGTGACAAGGACCACAACATCCGTTTACCATCAGGTAAGTGTGACAAACGAGCACATAGTTTACCTGAAGGTGAACTATGTGCTCGTTTGTCACACTTATTCTATAAAAAAAAATTATGCGAAAAGTTGTGTAATAGAGACGGCGTCTCGTTAATTTACAAATGTTAATTGAAAACACGTTGGAAGCATTCCGAGCAGTTTTTAACGACACACCCAGCAAACGCTAAAGAATTCTCCAATGAAAGCTTTCGAGTTTAAATCTACATTAATGGAAACTCATTAAGAAATGAACACAAGAAGTAACTTCGTCACTCGCCTCTCGTACGTTTGGCGGCTTTTAGATTCATTAATCATTTGTTAGAAGAATAGGTAAAATATGTTGTGAGGAATTAATAATTAGTAAAGAGTAGGTAAGAAACTATTATCAAGATTTGTTTTTATAGGATAAGAGTAATAAAAGGATCACACAATCCACATGATGGTAAGTGGATGTGTGACCCATAGCCATCTATATCTATCCTCAATAAAGGATCAAAATGCAGATGCGTTGTCACCCCTGAGGACTAAGATCGAATGTATCGTTTCCTGTAAAAAGGGTCTCCGGTTCTCTACACTCACCATACTAACACAGCAGCATTAGGCTGCTATTTTATGCTGGTTTCTTTGAGAGTGTATAGTTTCACCGGTCGAGCCGACCCATTCATGCTACAACTATACTACTAATATAATATAGCTGCAGCATTGCTCAACCACGTAAAAACAAGCTATTTACTATTTACTAAAATCACTAAAAATCATAGTAGACTTGTAATTAGATGAATTTTATAAAATAAATCTTTATTTAAAGTCACTTTGAAACTGTGATTACAAATAAAACTTTTTTTAATCACAGTTTCAAAGTGACTTTGTAAACTGTTCAAAGCAAAGAAACCCAATTCAATCATTCATCGGAGCTGGCCGAAATATTTATGGAACTACTATAGACGCTGAGCGCTCTCTGTAAATTTCATAGAACGCGAGAAACCCGGGTTTCAGCCCTCCAGCACCAATGATATTGTTAAATGCAATTTAAAGGCTATTTTACTGCTTGCTCGTTGATGAAAGAAAACTCTGTGAGGAAACTTATATATTTGAGTTATTTAGAGAGCATAATGTGAAGTCGATACACACTGGAACAGCGTGCTTGACTAAACCTCCATAACCCTCTCAGAAATGGAAGAAAACCTGTGCCAGAGATTTTATTTTTCCCACTTTCTACTTATCGTGTTACATATATTAAAAATATAGTACGTGAGGGTAATATGGTCATCCGATTAATATGGTCAATTTGTTATAACTCCAAAACTACAGCCTTATTTGCATTGATGGATGTGTGAAACGAAAGCTCTTTATCAGTCATTCAAATAATAAGAGCGGGTACACATTGGGCGCTCGGCGTTGCGGTGGGCGCACGCTTGTAGTATACATACAGCGCGCTTAGCACGGCGTTTAACGAGCGTTACCAAGGTGTCCATACTACTAGTTCAGTTTGTAAATGGACTTCGAAGTGATCGCTTGTGTGTGGCTTCTATACCGTCGCTATAAAAGACGACGGCAGAGGCAAGAGAATATTGGGTGCACCCAATATTACGAGATAAACTGACGCATGGAATATTTGTAACATTGTATCCAAAATAAGGCAATATGAACCTAAGTTTTTTAATTATTTTAGAATGTCCATAAAATCATTTGATGACTTACTCCATGTTATTAAAGTAGATATTACTGGTGATTCAACGATTTTGAGAGATTCGATTTCCGCAGAAGAAAAACTCGTGATAACGTTAAGGTAAGTATATTTGTTTATTCAAATAAATCTAAGTTGTCTGAATCTTGGCTGGAGGCTGAACGTGACGGTGACCATGATGACGGCGGTGGTGGCGGCGTGGTAGACCAATGTTGTGTTGTTGAAGGTCTAGCAGTAGTATATCCAGAATATGTCGGTGTAGAATATGTGTATGATGATTAGTTTCTAGTGGTAATGATTGATGATAATTCTGTGCTTCTTTAATGACATTGAGTAATTTAATCTTTGTAGTTAAGCGTCGATTTTCGGGCACTTTTTTTAATTCACTATACAATGATAAACAGAATAGTTTATCATCGTCTTCTTTAGTTAGTCGCCCCATTTCATTTTGTTCCCTTGCATTTAAACTTTTCTGTAAAATGTCGACTATTTGTTTATCTACAGCATTTATTTTCTGTCTTTTCCTTGGGCCTTCCATTTGATCTTTAAGAAATGGCATCAAGTCTGCATTGTCTATAATATTATCTACATCTGAACCAGTTGTGCCAGAAGATTGGTAATTGCTCTCTGTGTCGTTATATGCTGTAGAATTCGCAAGAAATTGTAATTTCCTGTAATACACATATGGCGTATGTTTGGAAGATCCAGATCCAGATGGAAGCTTTTTTTGCTTCTTAGACTCCCTAAGATAATTGTCCCGAATGCTTTTCCATTTTTTCATAAGTGTACCACCTGAAAATAAACAATAACCATTTTTATTTTGACAGATACTTGGCCACAGGCTGCTCTTTCGCTGATTTCCATTACGGATACCGTCTTGGAAAATCGACAATTATAAAGATAGTGGAACAAGTTTGTAAAGTACTATGGAGCAAATTAAAGTTTACATCTATGCCTGAAATGACAACAGAAAAGTGGAAAGAAGTAGAAGAAGGTTTTAAGAAATACGCTAACTTCCCAAATTGTATTGGTGCGATTGACGGGAAACATATTGAGCTAATACAATCAGAACATACAGGGTCGCTTTTTTACAATTATAAAACATACTTCTTATCAGTCTTACTAGCAGTTTGTGATGCAAATTATTGTTTTGTATACGTTGATGTCGGATCCTATGGCAAAACCAGTGATTCTGCTATTTTTAAAAATTCCGAATTTTTTAATAATAAGTTAAACATTCCTAACCCCAAACTTATATCAAATATCGATAGAACTTCATTGCCTCATGTGTTCGTTGGCGATGAAGCATTTGGAATTATGTCGAATGTGATGCAGCCGTATGGAGGAACACAACTCACACACACAAAAAAAGTTTTCAATTACAGATTATCGAGAGCAAGGCGCTATATTGAATGTACTTTCGGAATAATGAGCAATAAATGGCGAATATTTCATATACCGATAGATGTAAACATAGATTTCGCGGAGAGTATCATCAAAGCTTACACAGTACTACATAATTACGTTCGAATGCGCGATGGTTACAGATATGAAGATACACTTTATGTTTCACCTCTACAATCTATACATTTAGAAAATTTACCACGAGGCAGATCATGTGCTAGAACAGCAAGAGCAAAATTTGCCAATTATTTTGTGAACGAGGGAAAATTACAGTGCCAAAACAACATGATATAATTATAGAAAACATCAATAAATAATTATACTCACCCAACAGTTTTTTCTTTTCCAAATTGTCTTCACAGTCACTAAAACTTTCAACTATTTCCTCCCAATTACGTTTTTTTTTAATATTTCATTTTTATAATCTGGACTTTGCATGTCCCATATAGCTGGACGCTTTTGGATTTCGTCGATAAATAAATCTGTATCGAAGTGTTCGATCTCCATGATATACGTGCACCCTACACGAAAGCGCGCGATCATATGTACAGCAAAATGGCGGTGCATGTATCTACAAGCGCGCAGCTGACGCCCGCGCAACGCGCGTTCCAACGAAATTCTGAGAGCACGCGTCCGACGCGCGCTTGATCAGAAGTGCCCGCTTGCATGTGTACACTTCAATAGGGACTTTTGGATCTCAAAACGCGCGTTAGTAAATCGCGCGTTTCAAAGCGCCCAATGTGTACCCGCTCTAAAGGGTCAAAAGCGCACTGCTGTATCGACGCCATTTTGACAGTTGATATTATAGTAAAGATTTTAGTCAATTTTAATATAAGTTAGTGTAGTCAGTTTTTTTAAGTTGATTTTTTGAAGTGCTCCTAATTATTTCCAAGGCTTGTTTGCTGTTTTTTTTTTAAATTATATTAGTTATAGTATACGACATTGTGTACTTATCTCTGTCCTCCTCGTAATTTTAGGGCGGCAAAGTTTAAGCTCACCATATTACCCTCACGAAACTTATAAAATAATTAATAGCCTCCATATTTCTCTTCTTTGCAATATTTTAAACCAAAACCAAAGAGATACAGTGCTACACTTTTCATTACAAGAAAGTGCTTTAGACAGATAAGTTTAGATAATCTCCACCTAATTATTTATCCATTATAGTCGTAGCCAATAGAAGTCCACTGCTGAATTTAGGCCTCACGATATATTCACACATATGAAAGACATTGTCATGGTCGTCACACTTGGCAGGCGGCCTTCCAACCGCAGTTTTTTTTTTAATAATTTTTTAATAAAGTTGTTGAAGAAGATGCCGCTGATCTCCTGGTTTGTTTCCCTCTGTCGCCTCTTACGACACCCACGGGACGATATAAGGTCGTAGATATTGTTACGTCGCCCCCTCACGGTTTACATTATTTATAAAAATGATTAAAATTGCCTGATCTATTGAAAAGCCTAGATATCCTCATAATGTTGACATTTTTTTATATTTTTTTAATGAATATGTTATTTTTATAAAGAAATAAAATGAAAAAATTGTAGGTGTATAGGTTCATTAAGTAATAAACTTTCGAAAGAGAAGGTAACGGTAAATATGATTTTATACAGATAAAAGACTTCTACTTATTACTACACAAAATGCCAATTCGATATCTAAAATTATTACTGTGTTTAGAAATGTAAAACAATTTGTATAAATTTGTTTTATTTCAAGTGGTAGAGCCACGCTGCAGCTATGATAAGGTTGTGGCACCAGTAGGTCGGCTCGAGTGCCTCCCCGAACGGATTCCCGCCTAGCCGTGACGGGGGGGGGGGGCTTAGTAGCCGTGGCTTGGTTAGCCGCGGGTGAACAAAGAGGAACCCCTTGACTGGTCCGAGGTGGCCACTCCGAGTGGGCTTGGCGAGCCCAATTCGGATGTGTGTCGGTGGGCTGCGGTGAGAGGGGTGTCCTCTACCCCTACCGCTGCAGCCGAGGTGGAGTCGCGAAGGAAGAGGAGTGTTGGTATGACGGGGCCGCACCGTTAATGCGGTGGTGGTGGTGCCGCGGGGGTAGAGGAGTGTCGGTATAGCGAGGCTCCACTCTCCCTACCCTCTGCGGCCGAAACTTGGTTGGCGGCGGAGCCAGAGACCGCATCCCCCGTTGGGATTGGGAAAGCGGGTGCTACTAAGCGTTAGATTTTCCGCATATTGCATATCAGACTCGGGGGGTCCGATACGCAGGTGAGCTGGAGGCCATGGGGGGAGGCGTGCCTTGTGTTCCTGGTGCGTCTTGCCTGAGAAGTAGAATAGGGGGCGGCCGGCGCTGGTGGGATCGCGGATGTGTTCGAAAGCGTTCCCGAGGCTCTGCCAATATGCTGCGACGGTGGAACACCATGGGGTTTTAATCGGTGCGAGTCCGACATAAACACGTCCTTGTCCCCGTGAGGCGGGTATGCGTAGGCATTTCCCCATGTAAAAAAATAGGTCGAATCGAGTGGTGATAGATCACGCTCTCACAGAATACCATTGTAAAGTAGCGACTTAACGCTGCACTGTTGCGGGTAATGAGTGTAGAGAACTAGGGACTCTTTTTGCTAAAAACGACGAATCCACATTTTGATTTTTAATCAAAGAAATAATATGAAGATAGATAACTAGAGGCCATGGCATCTTTTTACTATCATGTGGAATGCGTGTTCTTTTGTCACCCTTTTTCTATAAAAAAAATTGTACAGTTTGACGGCACAATCAACGCCTTTAATTGTTTTTTCATAAATAGAACACTTTTAACGTAATTTTCAGAAGAATAGCAGAAAGAAAAATACCTCAAACCCAGTAAGAAAAATGTGTATCATTTTTTTTCATGACGGTCCAATAGACCCGTATATAATTTACGTACCGTGGTCGTGACCCTAGTGACTTATATTTATTATCAGCTTAAAAGTTCTACTCGACATAGGCAATACGATAAAGCTCACATCCTTTCTCCACTGCGAGAGCTGTTCGGAGAATTAAATCAAATAGAAAATGTTCATACACTAAGTATTTCTATACCATTTCACAAATTGAATTCAATAATCCTTAAATATTGATAGTGAAACGTCAATAAATCAACTGCCTCAAGTTTTATTATTATCAACAGTACTTAGTTAAAGTTAAATTCAACCAGATATTTTTATGGGAACCAAATGATTTTTATTAATAGACGCCCCAGGTATTTGGTATGTATGTTTTCATTTTAGTTCACACACTATAACGTGTTGTTGTGGTGTAAGAATATTATCTACTGTTTCCAGTGGATGTCGTAAGAGGCGACAGAGGGAAACAAACCAGGTAATGGGCGTCTTCCTAATAAGAACACAAAACAGAACAGTTCGCACTTTTAAAGTAAAACTAAAAGAATATCTTTTAAATTTGCAAAGTTAGTTCTGTCTCGATGTATTACACCTTTCTTATGAAGGTTGATTGAATGTTTGTATATTATAAAAATACTTGCTAAATTCTCCATTTATTTTATTTTATTTTTGTATCTTATTAAATAATTTAATTGTGTGCCTTGTGCCTTGCATATGTTTTGTTTTTTGTTTTGTTACGGTTTTTTTTTTTGCGTTGGCTTATTATTTTGCCTTTCTTTCCTAAATATTAAGTTTTTTTTTTAATTATTATTTATAAATTTTATAAGAGTGTATTTTTTATTTTTATGTTGGAGCCTGTGATTGGCTAAGTGTATTTTATTGCACCTATGTCTCTGGCGTTTACTGAAAATCAGCGTTATAGTTATCACTATGTGGTTTCTATAACATTTGTGCTGAGTAGACGCCATTTTAGTTCCATTCCATTAATTTATTTTGTTATGTTAATTTGTGTTTTTGTTTAGAACTAAATAAATTATATTATTATTATTATTATTATTAAAATAGTAAAAAAAAATTACGTACGAAGTGAAACTTCTTTACATATCATATATTTGACATATCATTCTTCTTTTATTTTACTACCCATGCAGTCCTCATGGTGAAACGTTACAAGAAAACGTGACGTGTTTTTTTTAAATACCGTACTAAATCTCCCTACAGCGTCGATACAGAAATTTCACTACAAAAACTACGGTAGCCAACTCGCCTGCTTAGCATGCTAACTATGTCAATTATCCCCCCTAAGGGACAATCTATTGGGGAAGCCTATGTTAGATAGTGGTTTTTTTATAGGCTGTAGTGACGCTATCTCAAAATATTCGCAAAGTATTTAAAAGTAATGAGAGATTTAATTTAGCGGTTATAATACTGCGTGAAACAAAACTCATTAATTGCAGTCTCAAAACCCGTTAGTGACGTGTCAAATAAAATTTTAATGAGATTGAAATAGGAATTCCACTTGAGAAAACCTTTACCG